ACCTGGGTCTTGGTCAAATGTCTTGGTATGGTGGCCTTACTCCCTTGTGCTTAACCTTTCAAAAGTGCTTATTTTTATTGAATACAAAATAATTTTTATAATACATGTATAAAGAATAAGAGTACACCAATAACACCCTGCACCCCACCTCCCAGTATAAGAATTACCTTTGTCTTTTAAGAACTGCTTCATGTCCTTCACCATCTGTGGTGGTTAAGTTTGTGTGTCAACTTGGCTGGGCCTGGTTGAGTGACTGGGCAGCTGGATGTAGTATTTCCCATGATGGGTCTGGTAATCAGCTCCATGGTGGAATCTACTGTGAGCAGCTGAGTAGCTGCCCTAGCATTGTGGTCTGCTTCCTGTATATAAGGAGAAGCCTTGGGGAATGCCCTTTAGCTTATGGCACGCCTGAACCCTGCATGCAACCATGTCATTGTTCAGCAGCCTGCCATGCTCTGCAGACCTTGGGACTTACAATGGACTTGAATTAATGGCCTGCTGTGTGGTTTGGTAATATTGGGACTGTGCCATTTTATTTGTCAACCTTGGGCTTGTTAGCCTCAGCAGCTAGTAGCTGCCTGAGTGAAGAAAGATGCTTACCTGTGTTTTATTGACTATGCAAAGGCATTTGACTATGTGGATCATAATAAATTATGAATAACATTGTAAAGAATGAGAATTCCAGAACACTTAACTGTGTTCATGAGGAATCTGTACTATGATAGTCGAAGTTGTATGTCAGCTTGGCTGGGCCTGGTTGAGTGGCTGGGCAGCTGGTGGTAGTTATTCCCCATGATGAGACTGGCAATCAACTCCATAGTGGGATCTACCACAAGCAGCTGAGTAGCTGCTTTGGGTATGTGGTCCGCTTCCTGTATATAAGACACAGCTTTGGGAACGGTCTCTAGCTTATGGCACGCTTGAACCCTGTATGTAGCCGAGTTGTTCAGCAGCCTGCCGTGCTCTGCTGACCTTGGGACTTTCAATGGACTTGAATTAATGGCCTGCCGTGTGGTTTGGTAATATTGGGACTGTGCCTTATTACTTGTCAGCCTTGGGCTTGTCAGCTTCAGCAGCCAGCAGCTGAGTAAAGAAAAGCCTTCAGTTTCAGCGGGCCAGGAGCAGGAGGCAGAGCTGAAGCCCAAGGCTGAGGGGCTTTCACCTAGCCCCTAGAGCCTGGCACTTTGAACTTGGACTTAAAGCCTCCAAATTGTAAGAATAAACTCCTGTTTGTGAAGGCCATCCCATTTATGGTATATGTTCTTGTTAGAGCAGCACTAGGTAACCAGAATATGCACAGAGACACAAGTGGTTCTGTGGTATAGTCAATTACACGGTATGGCTTTTCTAGCGATGGTCTTTATAACTCCCACCAGATTACTAGGTGGAACTATGCAAATGTAAGATGCTTGTGGGCTACTGAGTGGATTGAATAGCTTGTTAATGATATAAATAATGTACATGGCATCCTTGTGGGGGGTGGGACTGTGCAAATAAGGTGCATGTGGGGATTGGTCAGTTTTGTCATTCTGCTAAGGCTTAAAATAAGCCTTCCTAGAGGCAGAAGGGGGTGGTGGTGGGAATTTCATTGCCATCAGGAAAGAAGAGCCAGAGGTGGAGTGGAATGCATCCTTGGACCTGAGATCCCTGTGGTGGACCTCCTTAGCCGAGACCACCAGCTGAGACAACCAGCTAAGAGACAGCAGCAGTGGAACCAAGAGACATGAGACAGAGGCAGGCTTGTCAGCCCACAAGAGAGAAAGCTGAGTGCCTTTGGGCAGAAGGCTTGATGGTAGAGTGAGGTGCACCTAGCTGCACCTCTCAGCAGAGCTAAAAGAGCTTTATAACTCTTGCCAGAGCAGGGCAGAGACCAGACCCAGAGGCCAAGGACCAGAGAGGCAAGCCTGACGGAATAGCAAAGGGGAGACTGATCCTGATCGAAGATTCGTATCCCGAGAGTGTTCTTAAACCTGAATTGTAACCTGTTACTTCCTGAATAAACCCCATAACCAAGAGTATTGTCTAAGTTCTGTGTGACATTGCAATGAATTATCAAACCCAGCAGAGAAGTAGTGAGTGCTGTGGGAGGGACAGTTGGTGTCAGAATTGGTAAAAAGGCTGGAGGGTGGTAGCATGTCTAGCCTCAGGAATAAGCATTGAGCTGCTAATGGTGATTCTCTCTCCCCCTCATGAAGTTAGAGGAGGTCAGAAGGTACCACCCCCCTGTCCTTTTTTGCAGGTTCGAACAGAGCAAGGTGATAGATACTGCATGGTTTAAAATCAGGAAAGTTGTGCATCAGGGTTGTATCTTTTCACCATACTTATTCAATTGGTATGCTAAGCAAATAATCTGAGAAGCTGGACTATATGGGGAAGAATGCAACAAGAGGGAGATGGGAGGAAGACTCATTAACAAGCTGTGATAAGCAGATGACACAACCCTTGCTTGCTGAAAGGGAAGAGGACAATAGTTACAGGGGACATAGAGATGAATCAGGACTGAACATCATCCTGGAAAAGTGAGTGGTCCAGTGGGGTAGACAGATTAGAAACTAAAGAATCATAGAACCAAGTGTAATAGAAGTAAACCTCGGAACAAAGAAAGATAAAAACATTAATTCCACCAAGATGGTGCTCTGGGAAAGTTTCCTAGAGGAAGTGAGCTTTTATTTCAAAATAAAGTCAATATATTTTTTCTTATTACAAAAGCAACACATGCTTATTATTAAAAAATAAGAGGAAAAAAGCCAAACGTGTAAAAAGAATATGAAAACTTTTTCTTATTACCAAGATAGTCATAATTAATCCTTTTGTATATCTCAAGAGGTACTAGCTGAAGCGGATCTTAAAAATCTGAGTAGACCAAAGTTGTGAAGGTGGGGGGTGGGGGACAAGGAAGGTAGATTAATGGAAACAGAACAACCAGAATGGAGATAATGAGAATGCTGACACATTGTGAAAAGTGTAACCAATTTCACTAAATAATATGTATCCCCAGACCAAAAACCAAACCCACGGCCATCACAACCCTACAGGACAGAGTAGAAATACCCCTAGGGTTTCAAGGCTGTAAATCTTTATGGTTAGCAGTCAAATGCTTTAACCACTGCACCACCAGAGCTCCTTGAATAATGTGTATAGAAATTATTAAGCGAGAACATTATCTATTAGGTAAATTTTCCAAAAACATAATAAAATATTTTTTAAAAAATGAGTAAGAGAGGAAAAAGTTTTTAAAAAAATGAGTAGGAGGTATTGGTGAAGTTTTGTTCCTTAAGCTGGGAGGTGTTTAAAAATTATTCTTTACAATGTACCTGTAAATTAAATATACTGTTACATATGTAAAACATTTCACAATAAAAAGGTAAATACATATAAGATCTACTCAAGGATTTTGGGAGGACTGGCCTACAAATTTTGGCTGTTTCTAAACAAGATTTAAACTCTTAAGAAATACTGACAATGAGGATGGAATCCTACACCAAAAAAAAGTCATAATTAGTTTCTAAAATTACAAGAGAAAAGTGGAAATATCAAAAGACTCTATGTGCCAGTAGTGGACATAGAAAAAAAAAAAAAAACAGATTAAAAACAAAGAAATAAACCTAAATGGTATCTGCACTTAGACAAGCAGAGATAACTCTGATCCACTCAAATATTTTTTAAAAAATTATCATCAGAGAAATGAATTTCAAAGATTCCATTTACATCCTGGAGATGGATAAGCAACTCTGTTCCTGCTTTGTGTAATAAGGACAAAATGAGTTTTAAGATCTTTTTTTTTTTAATGCTGAGGTGTACTCATTTATAATTTGAATTTTTAAAATATCAGCTGACTGAAGCTGACCCTAGGGACTCAGGGACCTCTTATAGATAACCAAAAATTTACCTGTTCTGATTTGGTCTGCCAAAGACGCTATTGTCCACTGCTTAGTAAATGGTTTGGAGAAAATACCTCAAAACTATTAAGGGAAATGGAATAAAGTCTGAGTTATGACAGAGTGCTAAGAAAAAGCGAAGAGAGGGTGGCAGTTTTTCAGGTATGGAAGGGGTCATTCTAGGCAGAAGCAACAATAGTAGCAACGGCAGAAAGCATAAATGGCATAATGCATAAGGCGCTTGATTGCTAACTAGAAGGTTAGCGGTTCAAACCCACCAGCCACTCCTGGGAAGGTAGATTGGGCAATCTATTTCCGTAGTGATGCTGCCTCGGAAACCCAAGGAGTGGGTGGCTATGAGTCGGGACCGACTCCACGGCACATAACAACAACAACAACAACAACATATACGAAGAACAGCAAGTAATCTAGTGTAACTGAAGAGAGACTGAACCTCAGTTGACCAAACCATCAAGGGCACTGAAATTCCCCTAGGAAGACTCCTGGCTCGCAAGCCTTTCCCACTCTCTTAACGACCTCTGTTTCCCTTTCCCGCTCTCTATTGCCTCCGACAGCCTAACTTCTCTCCTTGGCCCCGCCCCCTAGGGAAAACCGGGTTGAAGGCGGAGACTCGTGTGGTCATTTCATTGCGCCCTCCTATGGCGCGCGGAGTTGAAGGCGCCGTTTAATGATGTCACGGTCATTGACAGTGTGAGGTGATGGTAGTTGCTGCCATGGTGGTGAGTGGCGGGGTAAGAGTCTAAGTTTATCTCCACAGGCCAAAGCTCTGTGGAGGCTGGAAGTTTGCGGGCAGGGCGGCGAGGTAGTTGATGCCGTGTCGTTCGTTTGAGGCCAGGGTTCAAGGCTCAAAAGCTGGACTCCTTGATCTGGGTTAGGGGCTGTGGGAAGGCTAAATCCAGGCTGAGTGAAAGGTGCTGTCTAGGGGGCTTGGCAGAGCCTTAGAGACAGCACTGGGGTGAAGGCAGTCGGGAGCTAAGGGTCTGGGCAAGGAGATATCTCCATCGGTTTGGCCTTGGAGCTGGGTGGGCGGGCCAGGCTCACGAATCTGCCTCACTCCCCAACCCCGCCTTCTCGTTGTGGCTCCCGCGGTCTGCAGGTGCAGCATGTCTAGACTAGGGGCCCTGGGTGGCGCCCGCACCGGCCTGGGGCTGTTGCTGGGCACTGCCGCAGGCCTTGGATTCCTGTGTGCCCTTTATATCCAGCGGTGGAAACGAACCCAGCGCCATGGCCAGAACCAGAGGCTGCCCAACTCCCTGGATTACACGCGGACTTCAGACCCTGGACGCCAGGGTAGGAGCCGGTCCCCTGAGGTCGTCACTGCTAACGCATGGGCCTGGGGTCTGGGCTGCCTTTAACAGAGCCTGTGGAACAGGGCTGTAGGGGTGCCTGAGAATTTCATTTTCTTGGAAAGGTTGCAAAAGAAAACAACTTTCATCTTCTGTACTCTTTCCTTTATAATTCCAGGAAAGTATATTGTGAAAAAAACCGGTTAGCTTTTGCTTTTAGTTCTGGGCACATAGTGCTATGTGAGTATTAAAGGCACTTAGTGCTGAGTTAGCATGACTTAGCGTCTAGTAAGTAGAAAGAAGAGTCCAAAAGAAGGCAAAAAGAATAACTAATCTTGTAAGAATTAAGTTTTAAGGATTATTTATTATCATTAGAATTTGAAGAGAACCTTGGAGACCATCTAGTCCAAATTTTTGTCCTTCTTAGGAAATCAAGATTCAAATGATTGAGTAACTCTACCGAGGTAGTCACAGAGAAAGTAAATGGCAAGCAAAGTTGGGCCTGATCGCCTGGTCCAGTGGACTTTCCGCAGCACAGGACTTTCCACAGGCTGGGAGCTCACTTAATGTAATTAAAGCTGCTTGTGGCTGGAAGCCAGCCACAGAGGACATGGACAGTGCTTTCAGCTTTACAAAACTTTCATTTTAACTCATTTGAGCAAAGAATCCAGGGCTGGCTTAAACCTCCCACTTCATCCTCATCTTTATATAATAGAAAAGCATTCAAATAATCTCATCCCATGTGAATTGTGTTTTTTTCTGTTTACCAATGTCATATTTGATTTTAGCCATGTTGGTTTGGAAAAGTTAATTTTGGATATTATCTGTGAGTACAGTGCTCCATTAAAAAAAAGTGTATGAAACCAAAAGGTCAACAATTAATTTAAAGCAAAGATGAGAAGATAAGGGACAGGGAAACTAGAGCACTGGAAATGGAATAACCAGAACACAATAAAAGAAGATACTGATACATTGTGAAAAATGTGACAGATGTCACTGAACAACTTTTGTAGAAATTGTGAAATGAAAACCTAATTGGCTGTGTAAACTTTTACTTAAAACACAATATAGTATTTAAAAAAATAAAATAAAAGTTATCACCCTAGATTGCAACTGATTGCCAGCATTTTATACTTTGGTAATAACCAGGATTGCAGGTATATTTGTTTTTCCTTCCCTTTTCTTGTGTTTTATTTGTTTGCAGTTTCTTCGCAGTAGTTTTTCTTATGCTGAGGTTGGCAGAAAGTGGTCCAAGAATCTTTCTTGCTCTATATTCTTGCACATTGTTGGCTGTGCAGTGTAATATGGCCTAGATTGTTAACTAGCTTTTCTTTAGCAAAGGATTTATGCATGCCTGTGGGCCCTGCCTTCCTGATTTTTTTCCTATTTTTACATTTTCCGGTCCAGTTGCCTAGGTGGCTTTCAGTTTGCTAGCATTTCACTGTTGAAATTCACCTGGAGCTCAATTCAGAGTTGAGTTAGTGGATCTGTATGGGATTTTTCCAGTGTACCTTTTTCTTAGAACATCCCCTTTTCTCTTTGTCCCTCTCTGATGATAATAAATACCATTCTTGAGAAGAGCTGAGTTTTCTTTACTATTCTTTGTGAAGTGAAAGGTAAGAATTTGAATGAGCTCAATTTTAGTTTTGCTATGTGGTTGGTGTTGGCTGACTGGTATTGAGACACTGTGGAGTCAGGTAAAGGCTTTTCTTTTACTTCTAGGTACCACACTCTTGCAAACATTTCACATTATCTACTGTATTGCTGATGAGCTCTCATGTGGAAGGTTGTGCAGCAGAAGGCTCTTGTTAGTGCCCTAGTTTTTTCCTTCCCTGGACAGCTATTTGGAACTTGTTTCCACGACTTAGCTGTGAAAATATGCCATTTGAGCCGTAAGAGTTTTCTCTATAAATTGAACTTAGATGAGAAGCACGTGTTCTTGAATTCTAAATACAAGATTCCTTCTTCCCTATTGTACATGGATGTCACTGTCTCCTGTCCCCCTTCCTTCAGTGATGCTGTTGCGGTCGGCCCCAAGTGAGGCTGGAGATGCTGTGGTGCTGCCCAGCCTTCCACGAGAAGGGCAGGAGGAGGTGCTGGACCGCCTGGACTTTGTGTTGACCAGTCTTGTGGCACTGCGGCGGGAGGTAGAGGAGCTGAGGAGCAGCCTGCAAGGGCTTGCTGGGGAGATTGTTGGGGAGGTCCGGTGAGTAATGGGGCCTCCCGCTGCTTTGTCTCCTTTCCCTGAACTTTTCCCTGCCCCTACAGCTTTTGCTGTCTGTCTCTAAGGAAAACACCAATTTATAGCTTCTAACCTAATTTGCAGCAAATTAGTACACTTGTACCTTGCGTTGTACAAATTCCTTACCGATTCTGGGCCCTCATGGTCTGTTGCAGCTGGAACCGTCCTGCCTGTCTGGTCTGCCCGTACAGGCTGGGCCCAGAGATCTGCCCCTCTTGCTCTCCTGAGGGTGGAGACCCAGGAGTTTTCTCTGCTTTTGGCCCTTCAGTGAGGAGTGGTAGCAGGAAGGTCCCCCATGGAGAGGAAAAAGGCAGGCTGGATGGGGCCTAACAGCAGCCTCCTGTATGGGGCTTGCTTTCCAGATCCCACATGGAAGAGCACCAGAGAGTGACTCGGCGGCGAAGGTTCCCATTTGCCCGGGATAGGAGTGACTCCACTGGCTCCAGCTCTGTCTACTTCACAGCCACCTCAGGAACCACGGTCACAGATGCCGAGAGCGAAGGGGGGTGAGTCGTCTCTCCTGGTGGCATTTGTGGCTGTGGCCAGGTTGCATTTTTTAAAAATAATACTTATCAATGGAAAATTCAGACCATGCTGCCATAAATCATTTTTGGAGCAAGGTAAGGGTTTAAGTAAATAAAAAACCAGAAAAGTAGAAATAAAAAAATCATACAGTTTATGTCATCGTGACATGCACTGAAATGTTGCCAGTGTTATTGCTCTATCTGTTATTGTCCTTTGAGTAGGTTTGTTTTTTACATAGTTATTATGATATATACTTTATTTCTGTTTTCTTATAACATTAGTTTGGGCACTTTTCTTTGTTATCATAAGGATTTTGTAAATATTATGTTGATGCTTTCATTTTAATCATTGAGTGGCTGAACCAGGTATACAGAGTCTCCAAGCACTAAGTGTCCTCCCATCCCCCTGTACATTCTCATTTTTCCACAGGGGAGGGGCTTGCCCATGCTCCCAGCTTTACAAGTGGGAGGTGACTGATCTGGTTATTCAGTGGCCCAGCAGGTCTGATCATACTTTACTGTGAGGCATGGCCAAAGGCAGGAGTCTAGTAGACAGCCTCCTCTAAGCTGGGTCAGGCTAAGAGCTTTTTGATTTTGAAAAATCACTAGTGCCATTTTGAAATGCTGGTCCCAAGGCTTGAGTCTGAATGAACATCTTTGTTCATTCTGTGCCTGATGTTGTCAGTGGCAGCATCTGTCTTGTCCATTGCTAGCTCCAGTCATTCAGATGGCCTGTGTGAGATCCAGAAGCTGGTCTCTCCTTGGTGCCGTTTGCTGACATTTCTTCCTCTTTAGGAAAAAGATTGGTGCAGAGGAGAGTCACGTCTTACACTAGCTGAAGGTGACTGATTTAGCTGTGAAGAGGCACATGGGAACTAGAAGTTAACATCATTTTTGCAGGATTGGCCCTCTTTCCCTGAAACTGTTTATAATATTTGCAGCCATTTAGGCTTCTCTTCCTTTGTGCCAGATACTGCGCCTAAGCACTTTTGAGGCATTTCCTTACTTAATCTTCTCAATATTCCTATGGAGTAGGTACTTTGATTCTCCTTATTTTTCAGATGGAGAACTCGAGGCTTAGTGAGGTTTGATGTTTTGCCCATTGCTGGACAACTACTAAGTGGTATCACTTTTCAGATGTAGCCTCTCTGACAGAGTTCCATTCTCCTGACAAGTGGGTTTATCTACAGGGGGTGAGGGTCTGTGATTGGAGGCATGGCTTGGTCCTCAGGGCACATAAGGGGTTTCTCAGGAAAAACATGCAGCATGTGGCCCTTGGGAGTTCTGCCAATTGGCTAAGAGCTGCCACAACTCACTGCCAGGGAAGACCTGAGGTGCAGCAGTACCATTTGTTCAGCTCATTTTACTCAAGTAGTTTCAGCCTTGTGTGGGCCATTATATTCTCCTGCTTATCCTCATTTAGCTTTCTAAGAAAATTAAGAATAGTGCTAGACTCCATTTGCACATTACTGCCACTGGGCACCTGTGCTGGGTTTGATTATTGCTTAGGTGTCTCTTGAAACAAGCGAAGTCTTGGTGAAGAGCTCTAGTCTTCCATCTGTGACTACAGTTGCTGGCTTGTCTGACCTCTAGTAGCTGCATTCTCAAAGGCTAGCAGAAGCAGCTCTTTTCTATTTAGTTTGCTTTTGGAATGAGAGATGCTTCCAGAGGGCTGTGTTAGAGGAGGAGGCAAAAATGAAATTACTATTTGACACCTATCTGGATTGCAAAGAAATAAGGACTGGAAGTAGTTTATAGTGGATATTGAGATTTAAAGAGCCTATCTGTGGAACCCAAGTAAGCAGGCCACTTGGGTGGGTAACTGACATTTGAACTTTGGAAAAGGGCTGATAGAAGAGGTCACAGCCAGGTGGAATAGAATTGAGAACCCAGAAATAGATCCATCAACCTATAGTCAGCTGATTTTTGACAAAAGGGCTGAAATCCATTAAATAGGGAAGAGATTGTCTCTTTGACAAATGGTGCTGGCAAAACTAGATATCCATTTGCAGAAAAATGAAACAAGATCTGTACCTCACACCATACACAAAAACTAACTCCAGATGGATCAAAGACTTAAATGTGAAACCTAAAACTATAAAATTCCTCAAGGAAAGAATAGGGGCAAATTTAGGGGCCCTCATTTATGGCATAAACAGACTGTCAAGCATAACCCAAAATGCACAAACAGCAGAAGATAAACTAGATGAATGGGACCTCCTAAAAATTAAATTTTTATATGCTTCAAGCCTTCTCCAAAAGAGTGAAAAGAGGACCTACAGATTGTGAAAAAATATTCTGCAACAACATATCTGACAAGAGACCTATCTCTAAAATTTATAGAAAACTCTTAACACCTCAACAACAAAAAGACAATCCAATTAAAAAAATGGGCAGAAGACATGAATAGACACTTCACCAAGGAGGATATTCAGGTGGCCAACAAACATATGATCATGATCATTAGCCATTAGAGAGATGCAAATCAAAACAATGAGATACCATCTTGCCCCAGCACTAACAGCAAAGTTCAAGAAGAGAGATAATAACAAATGCTGGTGAGGATATAGAGAGATTGGGACTCTCACACACTACTAGTGGGACTGTAAAATGACACAACCACTGTAGAAAGCTGTATGGTGATTCCTTAAAAAGTTGGAATTAGAAATATCATTTGATCTAGCAGTCTCATTACTAGGTATATATCCTAAAGAAGTGAGAGCCAGGACAAGAACAGATATATGCACACCCATGTCCATTGCAGCACTATTTTCAATAGCAAAAGGATGGAAACAACCAAGGTGCCCATCAACAGAAGAATGGATAAGCAAACTATGGTACATACACACAATGGAATACAGTGCAACACTAAACAATAATGTAGAATCTGCAAAACACCGCATGATATGGATGAACCTGGAGGACATTATGCTGAGTGAAATAAGTCAATCACAGAAGGACAAATATTGTATTAGTTCATTAATGTAAAAAGTCAAGGAAAGATTTATATATGGAAGGAAACAGTTACCAAGGAACACTGCTAGATAGACAGAGACAAATATTGATTTGGGTGAAGGATAGGACAGTGTACCAAATATGAGTCATCAGCGTGGTGGCATTGAGGAATAAGAAGACAGAGAGAGGTACATGGGAGGTACAGACAACAAGATGAACCCTTTTGCATGTATCGTACAGCATTGTCAGTGATGGGAAGCATTGATCTACAGGTGGATTGATTGGTGGACAGGCTGAACGATCAGATATATCTAGGCAGGGGATGGTGTGCCCATGGCAATGTATAAGATTAGCAGTGTTTCTACATGTGTATTTATATGCACTGTAAGAATGTCCAGGTATATACTAGACCTGACAAGGGGCAAGGTTGTGGTGGCTTCTGGGCCATAGCCAGCTACCTGGAGCGAGTGAGTAGTTGGACATGTGGGCTCGGGACCATGGTTACAGGGGACATCAAGCTCAATTGGCATAACATACTACACAAAAACATTGTTCTATTTCCTACTTGGTGAGTGCCAACTGGAATCTTGAAAGCTTGCAAGTAGCCATCTAGATACAATGATGGGTCTCTTCTCATCCAGAGTGAAGAGGAAAGAAGAAAACCAATGACACATGGAAACAATTAGTCCAAGCGACTGGTAGACCATGTGATCCTCAGTGTATATGACCATGAGACCAGAAGAGCTAGATGGTGCCTGGCTACCACTGTCAAACACTTAGAAGGGGATCAGTGCCAAAGATCCTGAATAAAGTGGGAGAACAATGTGGAACAAAACTCAAAATCATGGGGGGGGGGGAACAGGTTTGCTGGTCTGATAGAGCCTGGTGAGACCCCTGAGACTATGGCCCCTAACCACCCTTCAGGTCTGGAATTGAACTCATTCCTGTGGTTTCCAGCCAAACAATAGACAGGCATATGGGGTGAGCATTTACATCAGGTAGATATACTCCCTGGAGCAGTCAATCATGGGAGAACAGGAGAGCAGTGTTTGCACTGGGAGACAGCTTGAGGGATGGGAGTGGACAGGAGGGAAGGACACAGGGCAGAGGTAACTATGGGGAGGAAGTGGGAAGAGAGCCATGACATTGTGGGGAATTGCAGTCAGTGTCATGAGAGAAAATGTGTATGAACTGCTGTATGGAAAATGAATTTTGCTCTGTAAACTTTCACCCAAATCACAATAGAAAAGAAGAAGAAGAGGTCACAGCTCTGCCCAAGATCAGGATGTAGAACTCAGGGGCGTTAATGATGGTTTAAAGAAGTTGTACAGACTTTTGAGATCAGTAAGAGCCAGAATGATTAACCAGGGAAGTTTGTGGGTGCTTCACTGCTTGGAATGCCCACTGGGGCTCTGTAGGCCACACAAGCAGGACAGGGCTGCCAACCACCTGTGATAGGGCAAGGGGAGGGGTGGCTTTCTTGATTATGGCTCTAGCAGGCTCAGCCCCGTGACTGATCCTGTGGTGGCATGTGGAAGCCCATGGTGGTGCAGGACTCTATGGTTTGGAGCTGGCTGCTATCTGGGACAGGGCTATGGGGAATACTTCTCTTTGCTGTACACAGCAGTGCCATGTAGGTCAAGGAGGAATCTGGGAGGAGACCACAAATGTTGGCCAAGGGAAGGGGAGCTTCTTTGAGGGATGAAGGGATAAGATTTGATGGACTATCCTACTCTACTGAAAGCTACAGTCCCTCCTCCCAAATAAAATAGCAACTTTGAGCTCCCAGAAGGTTGGCTGATCACAACTTCAGTTCCCTCCCTGTCAGAACTCAATATGCCTTAAAACATCACCTTCTCCAGAAAGCCTTCCCAGGCATCCCATCCAAGAGGGAAGGACTTATCTTCCCTCCTTCTTTGGCATCTATCACTTCTTTTAACTTGGGTCTTACCTCCCCACCACTGAGAGCCTTTCAGGGTCAGGACCAATGCCTTGGGTCATCTTTGAATGTCTCACATCTCAGCCCTTCTAATGTGTTTAGGAGGAGCTGAAAGAAACATAGTGTGAGAAGGAGCTTAGTGTGTAACTGAGTCCTTGATCACTGACTTGTGGGCTCTTCTCAGGGAGTAGAGTAGAGTACCTCTGACTTCCTTGCTGAGAGGGAACCTTGGGTCTCTGCACCGCTGTGGGAACAATGTGCTCCTCTATGTGTGTTGCTCCTTTTCAAAGATTGCCTGGCCACTCTCAGAAACCTCAGGGTGTGTTAAACAAAAGGACCACCTCTCTGGTAGATTTCTCCAAGGCTGGATTGGTGGTCAGGGAGTTGTAAGAGAATGGCTTCTCTGGTGAGTACATAAGTTGGGGCTCCCTAGGAGTTCCTGGCTTAGATGGCAACCCCAGAGACATCTTTCCAGAGGGTCTGTTTGTGTCTTCGTCCTCCCCTTCTACCTATAAAGTAGTCCCCACCCCCAGCAAGGTCCTGTGGTTCCCAAGGGCTATTCATGTGTGGTTTAGCTTTGGTTGCTAATTTGGGACAGAGGTACAAGTTTAACTGAGTAAGAAAATAGAGGTGTTTGTACTGCCCATGGCCTTGGAGGCTGGCACCAGCCCCTGTTGTTTCTGGCAGGTGCCTTTTGCTGATAAAGCAAAAATGATTGACAAACCCTTAGCCCAGTGAGTAATCTAGCTCAGGTGATCAGCACCACCTATATCTTAAGGTTTTTGTTTCTTTTTTAATTACAAAAGGAATATATACTCACTAAAGATATCATAAGTAATATTAAAAGATAAAATTACCTTTAATTTCTCTACCATGAGAGATCTACTGGCATCATTTTGGTACATACCAGTCTCTTTTTCCCCCCGTTTTCTGGCAGCCTTGGTAGTAGCTAAGCAGGAGGTTCTCAGAGTGGCCTTTGACCATTCATGGGGGCCCCAGCTGGTCATTCTTCTCCTTCCATGTAACTTCCCCAGCCCATAGTTCCCATAGGAAGCTTTCTTTTGAGAACTAATTTTTTCTCCTAAGCAATAAGAATGGTATTTATTTGGCGCATTGGATAACTATGTCATGGGGAGCTGGTGGCCCTGGGGTTTCTGGAGGTTGAATAATCCTGTGTTGACCTTGTCACTTACCTTCCTCTGCTATAGGTACACAACAGCCAATGCTGAGTCTGACTATGACCAGGACTCTGACAGGGAGAGTGAGGATGGGGAAGATGAAGTGAGCTGTGAGACTGTGAAGATAGGGAGAAAGGACTCTCTGGACCTGGAGGTAGATGTGGCTTTGGAGCCTGGACCTGGTACCCCAGAGGATGGAGGAATCTCTGGCCAGGAGGACATGCTGCCACTCCTGCAGCAGGCAGATGAGCTGCACCAGGGCAGCGAGCAGGACAAGCGGGAGGGCTTCCAGCTGCTGCTCAACAACAAATTGGCGGTGAGACTCCCAGCTGCCTGTCTGCCCCTCTCTTCTCCCTTCTTCTGGCCTTCAGGACATGAAGGGAGGCCCATGTGGTTACTCACTCCTGCATGGAGACCGGGGGAGGGAAATGGGATGGCAAGGGCTACCATGCCCTAGTATCGTACTTCTTGTTCTGAAGCCAAGCGCTGACCCTTGGGGCCCGTGTACTGCTCCCACCCTCAGCCCCCACCAGATCTCCCTGAGCAGTCTTCTCCCTCCAGGAGAGGTTCTGCTACAAAGCTTTGTCTCTCACCATGGAACTGGAATGGGCTTTTATTTCCCCCTCTTCTTCCCTTAAGGCAGAGAACCCTAGCTGCCTACCCACATGAAGCCTCTGTCATAGGTGTAAGTGGGTAGCACAGGTGTGAATTCTTCTCCCAGGTTTGCTGCCAGAAATTATGCTCACTCAGGTATAAACCAAAAAACAAAATTCACTGCCATCGAGTCTATTCTGACTCATAGTAACCCCCTTTGGGTTTCTGAGGCGGTGAATCTTTATGGAAGTAGATTGCCCAGTCTTCCTTCTACAGAGTGCTGGTGGGTTTGAACTGCTGGCCTTCTGGTTAGCAGTCAAATGTCTTAGGCACTATACCATCAGAGCTCCTTCACTCAGGTATAAATGCCCAAATTTTCATTTTCTTTTTCTTTGGGCAATTTCACATTTTGTTCATTTTGTCGGAAGACTTCTTTCTTGCTGTGACTCATTACATCTTGGAATTGACCTCTCCTGACAGTATTGGGGCCAGAATGCCCTCCCTCAGCACTTACGCAAGCCCTATGTCATCAGTCAACTGCATGTGAGAGGTCATGTGGGAGGGGGTTGCTATGCCTTGGAGCTGACCTGATCTCAGTGACTGTAACACACTGGCTTAGAAATTCAAACCTAGGTTGTGAGAAGAGGGCCACAGCTCCACTGAGCAGCTGAGGGAAGAAGGGCCTCACACTCTGTTTGGTCTGCAGTATGGAAGCTGGCAGGACTTTCTCTGGCGTCTGGCCCGGGCCTACAGTGACATGTGTGAGCTCACTGAGGAGGTGAGCGAGAAGAAGTCATATGCCCTAAATGGTAAGTGCTGAGAGGTTCGGTGGGAAAGTGACTGACTTTGATTCTGGGAGTGGAGTTGGTCCATCTGCTTGGAGCCCAGGGGAATGACCAAAATGCCGGCTACCAGGGCAGCTGTGGCTCAGTTACTCACCATGGACAAGTTCTTTGGCTCCCAAGAACCCCTGCTTCTTCCTCTTGAGGAATCACATCATGGTGATTGAATAACACAGGTGCAATGTCTTTAGTAGTTGTATCATGTTAACATCACTCTTTGTTCTCATTCACCAGCCACAAAGAGGGTAAAGCCTCCTTTCTTAATCTGAGGATTTTTGCTGCTGCTTAGGAATCTAGTTTCAGCTATGGGCCCTGTAGGGCGGGTGTCCAAAGAATATGAGTGGTATATGTTTGGCAAGTGCCTAAGAGCAGCATGGGAGATTACTGCTGGCTTAGAAATCCCTGGGGTCCACTTTACAAGTTGTTGTGAAAGTCATAGGATGCTCCTGACCTGTGCAGGCTCAGGGCTGTCCTAATCTGTCTTGAGGTCACTGATAAACCTGAGACTGAAAAAAGACTGGTCTTGTGGGGAAGATGATGTGTCCTGCCTAGTCACATGCCCTCTGAGCCAAGCACCATCAATGGGCTCGTGGTTTAGTTAATTATCTAACGCCAACTGAATTATCTACAATGGATCATCTACTTTCCCATTTTTATAAATACTACCTTGCAAACACTATTGAATCTCTGATAATGTAGAATCTGACTACACTTCAAGGTCATTGTGCTCAGCACTTAATTTTTGTTGCAGAATTCTGTTAATTGAGAAAGAGGCCAATTGAATTGAATGTTTGATATAGGCCTTCAGAAAAAACCCCTGAAGTTTTAATAAAAGGTGCTTGCTTGACACAATTTGCTTAATTACTGTTGCTTCTTTCTCTTCAAAACAGTTTCTGCTTTCCCTCCTAAATTTCAGGTGAGGATTCTTACAAGCTTTTGGGCTAATTTTTGGACTCTTAATATCAATCTTTCCTTTATGTCACTGACCATCTCTTAATACTAGGAGGCAGTATGACTCCTGAAGATGGAGGCTGAGGGTGGTAGGTAGAGGAGCAGCCACACCCAGCAGCACTGGTCTGGTCTGGTTCCCCAAGCTTAGCACCTTGATCTGCTGGAGGTCAGGATTATGGAGTGTCTCTGAAGGTCCTGTTCTGGGACCTTTTAGGACCATCCTTGCTAGGCCTAAAGTTCTTTACTTCTGCCACTAAAAGCTGGACAGTCAGGCGGCAGCCATTCTGTGGGATCTCAGGCAATGTCTATCTTTTCCACTGTCCATCTAGTGTGGCAACTGAGTCAAAAGCCTAATTTAACCTAGAGATTAATGAGCAGGATAGAAAACCTGGCAGGAACTTCTTGTCTCATTCTTCACTATTGTTTTTCTAATGACAAAATTAGTCTGCCTTGAAGGAAGCAGAGAGAAATCCCCCAAGAAAGACAGTGTCCTTCATTGGTGGGGCCTTATCACCCTTCTCTTTGGAAAGGTGGATGTTGAGTCCTTCAGAGTGTGAGTTGTCTTAAAAAATATACTGTATACAACATTTACCATAATTACTGTAATTCAAATAGGACACATTTCAGATTAGTTAGCCCACCATGTCAACACATTACATTTGTTCCATTTTCTCCATGTTTGAATCTGGGGAGAAATTCTATTTTGCAGTTTGCTCTTTTCTCCAGTGTGTAGATATGATGTCTTCATCTGGATGGGTATAAGCTCCACCCTCCTTGACACTCTAGACTCTTGTCAAGAGCTTTCATGTGTTTGGGCTTGGTTTCTGTTCATCTTGGTGCCTAGAAAACTTTGGTAAGACCAAGTAAAAGTCATCTCTAGTGAGACCTCAATCTGTTTGGCTCTTTGTGAGGGGGGGTTTTTGCCTAAAGCAATAATTAACATGAGAGTTTGATCCAAACTGTATAGCCTTTCCTCAATAAAATGAACATACACCAAAACTTTTATAGTTTCAGAGGGATTCATGGCTGCCCTGAAGTCTTTCCACAGACCCCAGATCAAAAACCCTTCAGAGTAAGGTCTTCTGGGGTCAGTTTCTGATGTCTTTGGGTCTTCTCTCTTTATATTTGAAATGCTAAAATTTGCTTCAAGAACAAATTTTGGATTTTGTTAAAAGGTAGCTGGGGCAGCTGATGAGACAGATGGGAAGGCAGAGGTGAAGCAGAAGTCATATTATACAGACTCATCCCTGAGAAGCTGTGACTTCATTTTGCTCAAGTTCACAACTATTTCCAAGCCAGTGCAGGTTGGGTAGGGATTGGTCAAAGCTAAAGCAATCATTCTTCCAGCAGCCTTTTCTGTGGGGTGTGCATAGGAGCCCTTGTCAATTTCTGGGTCACCTTTGTCTTACAGGAAAAGAAGAAGCAGAGGCCGCTCTGGAGAAAGGGGATGAGAGTGCAGAATGCCACCAGTGGTAATAACACCCTGCAGGGTCCCACGGAATGATCAACATGGGGCAGAAGCAGAGGAGAGGAGAGAAGGGCCTTTTGCTCTAGCCACAAAGGCATATGCCAGAAGAACCAGGAGAGGGAGCTCTGTCCTTTATTTCTACATACCCTACCCTACCCTACCCTACCCCAGGCAGAGACCACGGAAGTTTTCTTTGGGAAAACTTCAGGTGAGGCAAGGGAGTACAAGTTTTTTTGTTAGAACTTAGAGGAGTGAATAGCTTTTTAAGTCATTCCTAGCTATAAAACTTAGGAGTTTTCTCCTTAGGGAGACTGGGAAAACTTCCCCTCTCCTACATAATTCTTTCCCTTAGCTGTAGTCCCTTGCTGGTGGTGAACTTTGGCTTCTTTGCTTGGCTTGCATAAGGAAAACTGGAGGTGAGCTCATTCGCAGAAGTTCAGTGGTCAGTTTATCAGCTTACAAAAACATCAGCTGTTTGGTCTTATGAACAAACTTTGTGAAGCAAAGTTCTGCCAACTTGTATGGGTTAGAGCCTGGTCACATTTTGTATCCTAAGGTCTGGGCCTGCAACTGACAGCTCCTTGTTTTAAGTGAAAATGTCCCTTTTTCACTGCCACCCCTTGTTCTCCCTATCTCTGCCTTCAGATTGGGAGTGAAGAGAGAGGCTGTTTTTACGTTGCTGAAATTGTCTCTGCAAGTGCTCTTCTCAGAGGCCAGGTCACTGTTTCTTAGGTGTCAGGGGTGTGGCTTCTTGAAATTGGCCTCATACTTTAATACCTAAGGAATAGCTGTCTGCACTAAGTATGGAAATGAGTCTCTGGTAGTATGTACTACAAATACCCAGAGATTTAGTGAATCCATGACAAAGAAACTTGGGCATGGGTTAGACATTCAGCTTCTGTCAAATGTGCTTCTAGGAACAATCCTGAGGGGATGGGTCGTGAGACCTTGTTTTTAAAGACAGAGGATAGGAAGCTGGCTGCTGGGGAGTAGCAGTACTGGCCCTGAAATTGAGGGCTTTCTTCCTTTGCTTCTCTTGGTTCCCAAGTACCAATGATATACCTGTATACTTTCAAGGCCACTGACATCCTCTTTTACTATTTACTCAGGAGATAAAAAAAGCAGTATCATCAGGTCTTTAATCTATCAGAGATCTCTTCCTTTTTAAATTTCTATGACACTTATGTGACTACTTTATATGAAAGGGGAGACTTCTAACACTGGGGATTTGGACTAGGACTTTGCCTAATATTCTTAGATATAGAGGAGAGATTTATTGTGAAGGAAAATTTTTTTCCCCCACCTAGTACACTTTGCAGAGTTCAGAGTTGTATTTGCTAAATATTAGTTGGGGCCACAGATCTATGAAGGGGTGGAATTATATGTTGTTAGATGACATCAAGTCAGCTATGACTTACAGTGACCCTATGTACAGCAGAATGAAACACTGCTCAGTTGTGCATCTTCACAATCCTTGCTATACTTGAGCCCATTGTTGCAGCCATTGTGTCAATCCATCTTGTTGAAGGTCTTCCCCTTTTTGCTGACTTCCACATTACCAAGCATGATATCCTTCTTTAGGGACTGGTCCCTTCTGACAACATGACCAAAGTAGGTGAGATGAAGTCTGGCAATTCTTGCTTCCAAGGAGCATTCTGGCTGCACTTCTTCCAGAACAGATTTGTTCTTCCTCTGGCAGTGCATGGTATTTTCAGTATTCTTCACCACCACAATTCAAAGGCATCAACTCTTCTTTGGTTTTCCTTGTCCAGCTTTCATATGTATATGAGGCAATTGAAAATACCATGGCTTGGGTTAGGTGCACCTTAAGTCTTCAAAGTGACATCTTTGTTCTTCAACACTTTAAAGAGGTCTTTTGCAGTTTTGCCCAGTGCAGTATGATGTGTGGTTTCTAGACTGCTGCTTCCATGACTGTCGATTGTGGATCCAAGTAAAATGAAATCTTTGGCAACTTTAATCTTTTCTCCATTTATTGTGATGCTGCTTATTGGCCCAATTTTGAGAATGGGAATTCTACAGATAGGATGTATCAGTTCTAGCTGGAGGGTGGAGGGGCAGTGATGGTGTCCGGCGCTGGTTGCTGAGCTTGCTGCTGCTTCCCCTCCTTAGGTATGCAGTGCTCTGTGGTCAGCTGGCTGAGCATGAGAGCATCCAGAGACGCATCCAGAGTGGCTTTAGCTTCAAGGTGAGGATAGGTGTCTCTCCCTCCGTTGTGCTGGTCTAGTTCAGACTCCCTGGCTACTTCCCAGCTTCCCTTAGGAGGGCTCTCCTACAGCCTCACTGACTTGCCTTTCTTCCCTTACTAATACTTTTGTCTGATCTGATGTTAGTTTATTTACATGTTTCTCCCTCAGGAGCATGTGGACAAAGCCATCGCTCTTCAGCCAGAAAACCCTATGGCTCATTTTCTCCTGGGCAGGTGGTGCTACCAGGTGAGCTACATTCCAGGACTTGACATAATCTTCTTGCTAAGAACAGGGTCCTCAGCTTTCTTGGCCTAGTCTGGCTCAGGTGCCATTTATTTTGAATGCCTGTGTTATTGGTGGCTGGGACCCAGCTGTTTGACCCTGACCCTGTTTGTTTCCAACACAGAATACCCCATGTTTCAACAGATACTTCTTAAAACTTTTCATTCACATCTTGATCTTTTGGTGGCAGGTCTCTCACCTGAGCTGGCTAGAAAAAAAAGCTGCTACTGCCTTGTCTGAAAGTCCTCTCAGTGCCACTGTGCAGGATGCCCTGCAGAGCTTCCTAAAGGTATCAGGAAAGGGTAAACGCCAGCCCAAAACATCAGGTTGACCCTGTCCTCTCCTTAAGACATGATTGGGACCCTTCATGGGAAGGGTTTCTCATAGGGGACAATTTTGTGTTTGCTTGCTCTAGGAAAATCAGTCACTCGGGGAGCTTTTTATTTAAAAAAAAAAAAAAAATTCCCAGACCCACTGAGTAAGTCTCCAGGTTGGGGACTGGAAATCTTTACTTAATAAACTCCAACCTGACTTGAATTTGGGAGTCTGTTACTGAAATGCCTTCCTCCCTTCTCTAGGTTGAAGAACTACAGCCAGGATTTTCCAAAGCTGGAAGGGTATATATTTCAAAGGTAAATTCATCTGCCATCCTTACAGATGGGGAGATACATAAATAAAATTTCTGAGAACTCCTAAAAGCATACATCCTCATTCCCTTCTAGTCTTCTGGTTTATTTCTGCCAGGTTTTCACTGTTAGGTCTTTTCAGTGCTACAGAGAACTAGAAAAAATCTCTGAAGCTAGACGGTGGATGAAGTTGGCCCTGGAGCTGCCAAGTGTCACTAATGAGGTAATAATACTCCTAAGAGCTTTCCTAAGACTGGGTTCCATCATTGAGTCATCTTGTCTCAGGAAAGAAAATCTTCGTGTGAGGGCTTATTTCCTTAGGAAAGAAAGTCTCCATTTTTGCAAATAGGTCCTTTTGTATATATCTCACCCTGGGGACAAGATGGAACTCATAGGCTCCAAGTTATCTTGGGAAAGTAGGAGAAAGACTGGTAACAGGCCCAAACTCAGACTCTAGAACCAGTAGTTTGAGAATGTTGGCTCAGGATTTTGAGTTCTAGCCTTGTTCTATTTGTCTCCTTAGGATTCAGCTTTCCAGAAGGACCTAGAAGAATTGGAAGTAATTTTAGGAGAATAATCACATTCCAATGATCTTTATCATTTGAAGCATACCACTATTTACTTAAGGGGGAAAAAAAAATCAAGGCTTTTTTGTTGTTGTTAGGCCTACCTTAGCTCAGGAAACTGAGCTTGACTGGTTTAGGGAGTGTCCTGACTCATGGATCTGACTGCTACTTGCCACCATTCTTCAATTTCTTGCCTATTGTCCACCAGTTAATTTATTCTAATCCTTTACCTGATCCGATATTAGGGAAGCAGCTGAGGCCTAATACTCTGTTCTCCCCCTTAAGTGAATTCTTGAAAAATCAAGACTAGTAGAGCATCAACCCTAGGGTCGTGTGTGAGTGAAGCCCTAAAGCCTTGCTAGAGTTGAGAGGATGAAGCAGCCACACTGCCTTTCAACTGTTGGTGAGGTGGGTGAATGTCAAAGAGCTACAGGAACAAAGCACAGAATATATTAAACTCTAATCCTCTGCACTGATTAACATTCAAGATCAATGTATGTAGTTCAAAGATTACATCCTATCTACCAGAGTGAAAGAAGGGGTCAGGGCAGCCCACAAATCACCCTATCATGTGGATTCTTAACTGTATTCCTGGGTTGAGTGGCTGGACCATGTGATTTCCAGAGTCCTGGCAGCTTTTGGAATGACAGCAGTCACAAAGGTTTATGATAATGTGGAATGATGATCTGAAGAGTTGCCTGGAATGTATTTTGGCACGCATGTGAAATAAACCAAATTTGACTGGAAGTAATTATATTCTCTTTTCTATGTTTATTTCAGTTATTAGCTCCTTATTCTTACATGGACCCTTCCAGTATTGTTTCCTTCTATAGAAGCGACTGCAGACAAGTAGAAAAACAAGCCTCCAAATAGTTAGTGTTTAGAATAAGCTCTTTATATAATGCTGTTTCCATTGATGATTTCAGTGTCGCAGGGGGTTGAATGCTTTCAGCCTAACAAGACTTACTGCAACTAAGCAGGTGTTCCCCATCCCTCTTATGGTTCCTTTTGGTCAGAGCCAACAGTGCAAAGTCTAATTCCCCCTAGAAAGAAAATCTCACCTAGAAGAAAAAGTTTCTATGTCAAAGTCACTTAACTATGGGACTATAAGATTGAGATGCTTTTATACAAGAACCAAGTTTTCACCCTAGAATCTGTCACTGTAGCTTTATTATAACATCCTAAATTTTGTGGTATAGAAATGAAAAAGAACTGAGATAATATACTCAGTTCTGAGAATGAAAACAATTTTGGGGGTCTAAAATCTGGCATGGTGGCTTAAACATTTGGCTGCTAACCAAAAGGTTGGTGGTTTGAACCCACTAGCTGCTCCATGGGAGAAAGATGAGACACTCTGCTTCCATAAAGATTGGAAATCCTATGGGGCAGCTCTACTCTGTCCTATACAGTCACTATGCATTGGAACTGACTTGATGGTAGTGGTTTAAAATCTAGATAAGGTTTTTGGGTGAAACTGAGCTGAGAATGGATTACTTTGGATAAGATCTAGATTGCAAACCCCAGCTAGCAAAGATAGAACTCAACACAAGGAAAATGGGGAAATGATGCAAAGGACAAAAATTTAGGAAAAAGTCTTCCAAACTTTATTTGGTACCTTGTTTACAGGGACAGTGACAAGACTTATTACAGTCCCTGATTTAATTGCTAAAGAACTAATTTCAAGACAGCTGCATCTTATTGACTGGTCTTCCACTTTCCCTACATACAGTGGTACCAACAGAGGCAGCAGTAGATTTCACTGCTCTCCCCTATTAACTGAAAACTTTTAGGAATTTGAAAAGCTAGTTAAAACTCATCCTAAGTAGAAATATGGAAGGGGAGGAAGAAGAGTATCTCAAACCCATACAGTAGAATAATCAGGGCAAGTACCAGACCTCTACAATATGAGACTTCTGGAATAAAACTAAAGGTACAGGAAAGCTGCAGTATATTCATCTTATGATACCCTCCGTTAGGGTGAAGGCCAATAAACTCAGTTTTCTGGATGTAAGATCCTAAACATGCATACTTCTATTTCCCACAAATTTTCAAATCTAAAAAAACAATAAAAAATGTTAACTCCTAGACAGTGCCAAAATGCTATTATGGAGGCCCTATCTCGAAACATTCAGCCTCCTAAACACATTCACTATCAAGAAAACTATTACTAGCCTCACCCTGAATCTGTTTACTTAAATAATCTGAAATGCTCAAGATCCCATAATTATCAAGAGTTGGCTTTAGCAGTAATGACCAAGCAAGCAGCCAGTGAAGGGCTAGTGGCCCAGCAGGTCTGCTCAGGACTTTTCAACCAAAAACATTTCAGATATACAAACAGCAATACTTGTTTTATCAGAAATACTGGCTTCTGACTGACAGAGGAGAGTTCTACTGACAGAGAACTACTGTGAGGAGACCCATTCTCTTGCCACTTATCTCAGGTATATCATTTCCCCATTACTCAGACAGTGAGAGAAGAGGTGGGTCTCCCCAGCTTTAGTTCTCTTGAAAACATAAGACTTGTCTGTCCAGTAGATAGCTGTTGGTCCTAAGTCAAGCCCAAGGCACTGTGTCAAGGTATTCCATAACTCCCCTCCAAAATCCAAAGAAATCACATAGAGATTAATTAATATAGTCCAGAAAGAAAAACAGTTCAGATCAGTTTGTGACTACTGACCTGTATGTATCCTGTTTACATCACCAGAAAAGCCAATACAATAGATGTTTTCCCGGAAGCCTTTTCCTGGCAGTCACAACAGGAAGAGGACTGTGAAGAACCCCAGGGAGCAGTCCTTTCTACTGGGCTGTAGCACTTAAGGTTTACAACAGGAAAAAAACCAGTGATTCAGTCTTTGGCATCTCCTACTCCATCCGCATTGATGGCAAACATAGCTTCAGCTTCAGGAAGACAGGGAGAGTCATAGATTTTGCAGATTCTGGTTTCTCCTCTTCCTTTTCTCAGGTACAGTCTGACTCAAAGACATAGGACAAAGCATCAAAGTCATTATAATTAAAAATTAATTCCTGACTTTATAGTAAATCTAAAAATATACAAATACATATATCCCAGAGAGGACTTGGGGGACCTTTCTGGATTCCTTTGGCATAAGGGCACTTCTAACCTGAAGGAATCCATTTCTGCCCTGCCTTTTCTCTTAGTGGATTATCCAGTATTGAAACAATGTTTTATTTATGAATCAGGGGGAGGCATACAAATTATTCATATTTATTCTTCATATGTGGGGGCTTTTAACTACTTTATGGGAGCTATGGTGGCTGCTAACTGTATGGTTGGTGGTTTGAACCCCACTAGCCACTCAGCAAGAGAAAGATGTGGCAGTCTGCTTCCATAAAAGATTTGTAGCCTTGGAAACCCTATGAAGCAGTTCTACTTTGTCCTATAGGGTCACCATGAGTTGGAACTGACTTTATAGCAACAGGTTAAACTACTCTATGAATGATCTAGAGGCAAACATCTATATGTACCAAGGCATGAAAATTAGATTTAGCAGTATCTCCTAAGTACCTAATTACATAAACAGTAATATTCCAATAAAAACCACACTCGCTACCATCGAGTCTGATCCGACTCATAGCAACCCCTCCTTGGGTTTCCGAGGCAACATTACTACGAAATTGTCCTTCCGAGACGTGGCTGGTAGGTTTGAACCATCAGCCTCCTGGTTAGTAGTCAAATGCCTTAGGCACTATGCCACCAGAGCGCCTAACAGTAGCATTAGTAGAATTTAAATGGAAATATTATATTTTCGTATCTATATTACTTCACAGTTAGTATAACATTCCCAGAAGAATGAATCTGTCCCATCCATCAGCTTACCTGGTTGTTGAGGCATGGGCAATGATGTTTCCTCCAATAGGTTTCTTGGGATCTGCAGCAAACATGGCTGCTCCATCCACTTGGGCTACCACCTGGTTAGTGATTACCACTGCTACACCAAACTGAAAGGAAAGGATAATATCACTTTTGCAGCCACAAACATTCCAAGGACCTTATTCCTGCCACCCCTTCTCCCTGCAAGTCAATGACTAATGTCTCTTTTTTTCTCATCTGATGATAGCTCAATGATACTAGGCCCTAAAGTCCTGGTCTCTCAGCAAGCCTCCTAGTATTTGTGGCTGGCAAAAATAGGCATTTGCTATCTCTATCCCTCAGCTTACCTCATCAGCAAGTCGCAGAAGCATCCGCAGAAACCTGGCCAAGTGCATCTGCCTGGCTGAGAGTTCACCTCGACCAGAGTAGTCTGTTCTGTAGAGGGCAGTGGCACTGTCCACAATTAGCAGTGCATACCTACAGGGAATAAGGATTCTCTGAAGCTTATTTCTAGCCTGTGTCAGATTCGGTTGTCTTCCTCACCACCCTTAAAATCTCATATTCATAGTTATGCATGTATATCGATGTCCCATTAAAATGAGTATTAATTACAGCATTCATATCTGAGGCACCATGCAACTACTGTAAGATTCCCAATAGAGTCAAGTGGATTATGGCTCCATATTTTAATTGACCTAAACAACAAAGCAAGACTGTCAAAATAAAATTTTAAAATTTAAATCTCCCCATTTTTAATTCTAGCTACTATCAATTTGGGCAAACAGCTTATATAAGATTTAGGGTAAGGGTCCTGGAAGCATATTCAGTGCCTTCTACTGAGCACATACCTGGATTCTACCATCATGGCTGATGCTTGATAAAGGAGCTGGGTCTGGTGGTCTGTGTTGAACCCTCGAGCATATGCTACATTATCTAGGACATCACTGCCAGAGAGTCCATATCTAGGAGAAGAGGACATTTTTAGGGTAGAATAGAACCTAGGCAGATGAGAAATTCATCTCTAACACTGAAATTATCTGGATGGGTAAGAAGTGCCATTGACAGTAGTTCAAGGCCAAAGAATGTAACCCCCTTCTTTAAGAAGTTCAGCAAACAATATACATAGAGACAGCAGCAGCAAATACTTTGGAGGAGATCTGCCAGGCAGACAAACAAGATAAAGCTATTCTTTGAAAATTCATGAACTAGAATAAGAAGTACTTATTTATTTAGAATAATACGTTTTTATATGTAAGCAAATAATGTTATTCTCCTGGAAAGACCAAGGGCAGAATGACAAAATTGGAACTGAAACAAAAACAAGTCACTGAAAAAAAAAGAATTTAAATGAATAAGTAAACAAAAACATTTTTCTTTTAGTTGGCAAAGCAGTAATAAACATAGCTCTAATTAATAGTCATTAACAAATACAGAATGCATTGTTGTAGGGCTTGGAAGTATAGTGGGTGATGGAGACAAAAGTCCTTTCCTCAGCCTACATTCTACTATCTTATCTATCTAAATATGAAAACATCTGAATACTTGTTTATATCACTGAACAAAATCTTAAAAGACTGTCTAAAAGGAATCTCTGGATTACTAAAATAGTACATTCAAAATATGATTTCTGTATGATTGCCAAAAACTACTTTTGGAGGGAGAGTACATACACATCTTTAGAAAACCAAGATCAGGTTGCAAGAGAATTCTTTCTTCACAGGGATTTTATAAGCAGAGGGAAACAGTCATAATTAGCACCAACCTAATTTTATATCTAAATAATGTACATACACATTCAATGGCTTGGGCTCCTCAAGTTGTAAAATGAGAAAGGGGATTTTGATGTGATTTTAAAAATGGAAAGAAAATTCTCCTCAGCTTAGCCTTCTACAAACTGCCCTACCCAGGTAGGTTCCATCTTGAGTCTGTGGTGTCTCTACATGCAATTAAAATTCTAGTTAATCACGGGATTTCAGTTAAATGTGTCGTAGGGACCAAATTATCACCATTTGACCCTAGACAAATGAAAATAAGTAAAATAATTTTGAGAACTTATTTAAAAATTCTATTAAGGAATGCAGAAACAGAAATTCTTTAACTTTACTGAGGTACAATTTATACATAATAAAGCTCACCTGTTTTAGTTCTAAAATTCAATCATTTTTAGTAAATTTGCAAAGTTGGACAACCATTACCAAAGTCCAAATTTAGAACATTTCCATCACCCCAAAAAGATCTCTCATGTCCTTCTGCAATCGCTTCCCATTCCTACCCCCTACCCCAGGCAGCCACTCACCTCATATCTCTATAAACTTTCCTCTTTTGGTAATTTCATATAAATAGAATCACACAATACGTGGTCTTTTCTGCCTAGTTTTTAAGGTTCATCCATGTTTATAACATGTATTAGTACTTTGTTCCTTTTTGCTGCTGAGTACTATTCCTATTCTATATGAATAAAACACATTTTATCTATTCACCAGATAATACACATTTGGTTGTTTCCCGTTTTTGATTATTACAATAACCACTATAAACATCCATGGAACAAGCCTTTTTGTGGATATTTTCATTTCTCTTGAGTGGAGTGAAACTGCTGGTGTCATATGGTAAATGCTTTAACACTTTCATAACCCATGGGACACAGAGTACCCACATACATTTTCTTCCTTTGGGGTTTTTTGGCAGCTGTTTTCCCACTGACAGTGCATGCAGCTATTCAGAGGGGACCTGTGTAACTACCTGAAATGGAAGAAATGAGTGTATGTTGCAAATTACTATTTTTATAGTGTATTACATAAGGTCCTGGAAGTATGATCTTGCAAAACTTTTGTTTCTTTTTGCTTTTTTACTGGGGATAAACTTTGTAAGTATATTTTCAGGTTTCTCTGTGTTATGTGGAAGTTACCTCACATGATGATTCCATGTTCATGCAGATACCATATTTTCAGGTACCTTAAGTTGTATGTAAGAAACTCTGATGGTGTAGTGCCTAAGGCATTTCACTGCTAACCAGGAGGTTGGTGGTTCAAACCCACCAGCCACTCCGTGGAAGGAAGACTGGGCAATCTACTTCCATACAGATTTACCGCCTGGGAAATCCAAAGAGGGTCACTAAGTGGGAATCAACTAGACGGCGGTGAGTTTGTCTTTTTTTTTTGAAGCTGTATGTACCTGTCAAGGGATCTAGAAGGTGGTATGGAGTCCAGAGGGACATATGTGCCCCCTCGAGTCCAGAGGATTGTATGTCCTGCATAATTTTACCTCAGAGTAACAGGTGTCCCACATAATGCTACTGAGTCAAGGAGGTAGCTGCGTCTGATATAAATCTACCCCCCAGAGTCCTGAGGGAATCTGTGTCCCACATTATATGTATCAAAATCCCTATTTCATAATAAAATTTCAAAAATGCTCCTTGATTCAAATGCTTGTTGATTCATCATGTCTTCCATTAATGAAAATACATGTTATCAACAAAAAATTCAAAATGGGAATTGGGTCATGAAAAGGTTAACTTTTAAAGAAACTGCCACACTGTTTTCCAAAGGATCTGCACTATTTTACATTCTCATTAGCAATGTATGAGGGTTCTAAGCTTCTCCTATCATCAGGACATCTGTTATTGTTTCTCTTTTTTATTTTAACTCTTCTAATGGGTGTGAAGGGGGAGCTCTGGTAGCATAGTGGCTAAGACACTTGCCTGCTAACCAGACGGCTGGCGGTTCAAACCCACCAGCCACTCCTCGGAAGGAAGGTTGGGCAATCCTACTTCCGTAGTGATACTGCCTCGGAAACCCAAGGAGGGGTCGCTATGAGTCAGGCCGACTTGACGGCACATAACAACAACAACATAACAATGGGTGTGAAGTAGTATCTCATTGTGGTTCTGATCTGCGTCTCCCAGATGACTAATGTTGAGCACTTTTTCACTCTTACTGGCCATTTGTATGTTTTCCTTGGAGAAAAGTCTATTCAGATCCTTCACTCATGTTTTTATTGGGTTGCCTTTTTATTGCTGAGTTCTAAGAGTTCTTTATATATTCTGGATGCTCCATCCTTACCAGATACATGATTTGCAAAATTTCCACCCATTTTATGGATTATGTTCTCTTTCTTCTTAACTTTTTAAGCACAACTTTTAATTTTGATGAAATGAAATGAAACTCTATTATCAATTTTTCTTTCACTGACTATGGTTTTGACGTTGTATCTAAGAAATCTTTGCCTATCTTGAAGTCACGAAGATTTACACCTGTTTTCTTCATAAAATTTTAGCTCTTATTTATGTAGGACTATTTTTGGGAGCTCTGGTAGCGTAGTGCCTAAGGCATCTGACTGCTAACCAGAAGGCTGTCGTTCAAACCCAACAGCCACTCCTTGGAAGGAAGGTTGGGCAATCTACTTTCGTAGTGATACCACCTCGGAAACCCAAGGAGGGGTTGCTATGAATCAGATCCAACTCGATGGCAATGAGTTTGGGTTTTTTTTTTTTTTTGGTTCATCATCTATTTTGGGTTAATTTTTGTGTATAGTGTGACAGAAGAATCTAAATCCATCTTTTTTGCTTGTGAGACCTACATTAGCACCTAAATAAAAGGTTATTCTTTCCCCTCTTCAGTTGCCTTGACACCTTTGTTAAAAATCAAGTGACCATAAATGAACTCTCAATTCTGTTCCATTGATCTATGTTTCTCTTACACTAGCACCACACTATTTTGATTACTGCAGGTTTATACCAAGTTTTAAAATCAAGAAGTATGAGAACTCCAACTTTCTTCTTTTTTTCAAGAATGTCTGACTATTTCAGGTTCTTTGCATTTCAATATAAATTTAAAAATTAGCTTGTCAATTTCTGCAGAAAAACTTTGCTGAAATTTTGATAGGTATTGTGTTGAATCTATAGATCTGATTGGAGAGAACTGCCATTCTAATAAAACAGCCTTCCAATTCATGAATGAGTAATATTTCTCTATTTAGGTTCTTATTTAATTTTTCTCAGTGATGTTTTAGTTTTCAGTGTACAAGTTTTGCACTTCTTTAATTAAATTTATTCTTTTGTATTTTAAGTCTTTCTGATGCTATTGTGAATGCAACTGTTTTTATTTTCATTGCTAGTATATAGAAATATAATTGATCTTTTTTGCATATTGATGTTATAAAAGGTTATTCTACAATTTAAATCTTGACCTTATTTATTAGTTCTAGTTGTTGTTGTTTAGTTGCTGCCGAGTTGGCTCTGACTCACCGTGACCCTATGTACCACAGAATGAAACACTAATTCTAGTAGTTTTTTTCAATGGATTCCTTAGGATTTTCCACACAGAGGATTCATGTCATCTGTGAATAAAGACAGTTTCACAATTTTTCCTTTCTAGTCTGCATGCCTTTTATGTCATTTTATTACAATACTGTACTGGCTAGGACCTTCAACACGATGTTAAATATAAGTGGTGAGAGGGGACATTCTTGCCTTTTTTTGATCTCAGGGAGAAAGCATTTAGACTTTAACCATTAAATATGTTAACTTTGGGTTTTTTATAGATGTCCTTTATCAGCTTAAGTAAGGTTCCTTATATTACTAGTTTGTTGAATTTTTATCATGAATAGTTTTATATCTTATCAAACACTTTTTCTGCATCTATAGGTGTGCCTTTTATTCTATTAATATGGTATATTACATCAATTGATTTTTGAATGTTAAACCAATCTTGCATTCCTCTGAAAAATCCCACTTGGTCATGCTGTGTAATCCTTTTTCCAAATATCTGTAAGTTTCTCAGATTTCTGTGTGGATCTTTAATATATAATTCCATTGTGGTCAGAGAACATGCTCTGTATGATAGTGATCCTTTTAAATTTATTAGTAATTAGTCTGTGGCACAGCATATGATCTATTCTGGAGAATGTTCAATGTGTAGTTGAGAAGAATGTATATTATGCTGTTGTTTGGTGGAGTCTTCTATGCCAATTAAGTTGGTTGATACTAATACAGTCGAGTCTCCAATATTCTTGCTGATATTCTGCCTGGTTGTTCTATTAATAAGAGTGAGATCTGAAATCTCCAACTACTGTTGCTGAATTGTCTGTTGCTCTTTACAATTATGTCAGTTTTTGTTTCATGTATTTTGGGGCTCTGTTGTTAGATGTATATATGTTTACAATTGTTATATCTTTATAATGAATTGTCTTTAGCAAATTTTTTTTGTCTTAAGGTATATTTTGTCTGATATTAGTTTAGTCACTCCAGCTCTCTTATGATTATTCTTTGTATAGGATATCTTTTTCTGTCCCTTTACTTTCAATCAATGAGCTCTGGTGGCATAGTGGGTAAGTCATTTGGCTTCTAACTAGAAGGTTGGTGGTTCAAACCCACCAGTTGCTCCACACGAAAATGATGAGGCAATCTATTTCTCTCAAGTTTCACAGCCTTCAAAACCCAACGGGGTCACTATGAATCGGAATCGACTCGATGGCAGTGGGTTTGGTTTTGTGGCCTTTCATTTTCAATCTGTTTGTGTCTTTTAATCTACTACTTCTCTGGAAGACAACATATAGTTGAATCTTGCTTTTTATCCAGTATAACAGCAACTCCTAAATTCTTGACTAATTCGAAGAATGCTTTTCTCCACTAAGGAAGGTTATTCTTTTGAGCACACATACAACTCTGGGAAGAACAGTTGTGGAGCAGTAAGGATGAGATACTCTTCAGCCAAACAAACCCTGGCAAGCACAACAGGGACAGGTGAAGCCATACTCCTCCCACCTAATATAGTAACTTACCTCTCAGCCACTGCTAGGAGCCGTTCTGGCCTAAAGGTACCCTCAGTGTCAATGTACATGGCTTTTCCTTCACCACCACCTCGGTCAATAGGAAGCTAGAGAGAGTAACAACAACATACTCAAAACAAAACAAAACAGCAGAAATGAAACTATATTTTGGATATAACCAACCAGGTTCCATATGGCAGGAATATGTAGAGAAAAACAATGAAAGGGAAAAACTTTGAAGCTCATTGTGTTCCCTAGCAAATAAGACTAGAGTCTTCTCAGAGTTGAAGTGCCTGGAAATACAATCTAAAGCAAGTAATAAAATTCTGTGACTGTATATCAACATAAGATTGATTGAGCAATTCCCTCAAGAGTAAAAACATTTGAGAAATCATTTACTTTAGCTTTAATCAATAAGGGAAACTGATCCAATATTCACATCCATACCAAACTTATACTTCAATTTACTGAGCAGAGTTTACTTCTGAGGGTCATTAAAGGGGCTTGGCAATACACAAGGGGCATCTCTAGCAGGTTCAAAGTGTGAGTAAGAAAGATAAAAGGTGTTTGCTCTGGTAGTACATACAGATTTTAAAAGAGAACAAAGAAAGAAAAAGGAAAAATAAGTAGCAGTAAGAATAGAAAAAAGAAAAGGGAAGGAATATGGAGTGCTATAAAAACTTACTGCCATCCAATTGGTTCCAACTCAAAGCAACCCTCATTGGGTTTCTGAGGTGGTAAACCTTTACAGAAGTAGATTACCCCACCTTCCTTCTGCAGAGTAGCTGGTAGGTTTGAACCGCTGCCCTTCCAGTTAGCAGCCAAATGCCTCATCCACTATGCCACCAGAGCTCCTTATAAAAACTCTCTAGAGCCACTCAGGGAAATCTGTTTTAGGCTACCAAGTCCATGCCACACACCTATGAGTTCTACAGATTTTAACTGAATGATGCTAAAGTGTAGTTTCTATCCTAGAAATCAACTTTGTAGCCGTAATTCAACTTTATATTGTGAGGAAATTTCATTAAACATTTCACATTAAGGGCCTCATTGCACCATATTTCCTTTGAGTATTTTTCCCCTACTCCAAAATTATATGAGTACTCTATGCTTAGGAGCTCTGGTAGCATAGTGGCTAAAGCACTTGACTGCTAACCAGAAGGCTGGCGGTTCAAACCCACCAGCCACTCCTCGGAAGGAAGGTTGGGCAATCCTACTTCCGTAGTGATACTGCCTCAGAAACCCAAGGAGGGGTTGCTATGAGTCGGGGCCGACTCGACGGCACATAACAACAACAACAACAACAACTCTATGCTTGTATTAAACACTCTGGCACACATGTATATCAATGTTTATCGCAGCATTATTCACAATAGCCACAAGGTGGAAGCAACCCAAGTGCCAATTAATAGATAAATGGATAAATAAAATGTGGCATAAACATACAATGGAGTGTTATTCTGCTATAAATAAAAATGAAGTTCTGATACCTGCCACATGGATAAACCTTGAAAACATTATGCTAAATGAGATAAGGCAGACACAAAAGGACAAACATTGTCTGAGTCCAGTGGTTACCAGAGGCTGGGGGAGAGGGGAATGGAGTATTCAAAAAGGGAAAAATAAACATGCTCAGAAATCCAAATAAAATTCTTGACCTCCCAGTGCCACTGCAGTCATGTTGTGTACTGGGCTGGGCTGCCTCCAAGTTAGCTGTTTTGAAATAGCTGTTTTGTATCGTAATTTAAACCTTCCTCCTATTTTGTACTGTTGTTGTTGTTAGGTGCCGTCGAATCGGATCCAACTCATAGCAACACCTCCTTGGGTTTCCGAGGTGGTATCACTACAGAAGTAGATTGCCCAACCTTCCTTCTGAGGTGGCTGGTGGGTTTGAACCGCCAGCCTTCTGGTTAGCAGTCAAGTGCCTTAGGCACTATGCTAGTTGTTTTTAATTTTCACCAACTTAATCATGCCATAGTATTAAGTCTTTATACAATTATCCTTGAGCATATGTAAAACTCTGTAACATAAATTTGCTGGTCAAAGGGCATGTGCATTTAAAATTGGATCTGTGTTAAACTGTTTTCTCAGAATTTTTAAATTAGTACTATGAACAAGCATAAGGCATTAATTTTTAATAACCTAACTAGCTCTCAACTTCGCATAGCTTCACTATTAGACCCAACACACTGTCAGGTTTCATTTCATTAAGCTGAGAAAATCTGAACAGTAAAAGCAGATGTTTAATAATCTAACATCCTTTCTATACCTCTAGTTCTAGTTCTGAGGCTGGTAAAATGTAACTATTACCATTATTAATGAATTAGCATTCTTTTTCTTTGAAAAAAATAACAAAGTTCTGAATTGTTCAGCCACGTAGACTGTTCAGTTATTCTTAGAGAGAATATGTTTATTTAAGAATTTTGCTTCAGTTTATTGTTGGCAGGCATTATCTGACATCTTAATAAACATTCCCAGGCTAGGATTCTGTTTGTACAACTTCATAGCGTCAGCATGTTATGCTGAGTTACTAAGGCAACGATGGATATTGTGTACTATACGCTAAATATTTATCCCACATCAATCTCTGTCAAAACAACATGAGGAAAACATTTCTGTTTAAAAACATCATATCAAATGGCCCAGTCAGGGTGGCATTTTAAACAGCCTTATTTCCCTTTAGCCATTAATTTTCTAATGTAGCTCAGGTAATAGCTATAGCTCCCACAGCTTAGTACCACTCATCTTTTCAACACCTCCACCCCTATCATCCTAAACGTTCTCCTACCTCCCACCTTCAACTCTTTCCTTCTATAGAAAGCCAATAATGGCTTAGGTCTACTTGTTTATTCATATCCTAACTTGGAGATAACACACAGTGACATTTTGGTCATGCACTATAGGATATTTTGAAGTCAAGACATCCATTCAGGTATTTATTGAGTGCTTACTGTGTACCAAGCTCTGAGTCAGGCAGTAGAAATACAACAGGGCCAGTTATAGGCTCTACCCTATATGAAAGATTTTAAGCCTTTGACATCTGCTTTGACTCTTGGATAAACTAAATGTTGTATCATCTTGGACAATTTCTTAACCCATGGTGTCTCAAATTCCCAGTTTGCCCACGAATGGGAATACAGTAATAGAAGAGGAAGCTGAAGGGGTCCAGGGAAAGTTTTCTCCTATTGGAGAAGATACTAAGCATGTCTGTATACTGAGAAGGCTCTAAGAGAAATAGAGTGAAAAATGGAAGAACAGTTGTTGAAAAGGTTGCAGGAGATAATAACCAGACTACAAGTAGTAAGACTGGCCTTTGAGAAGAAACAGGACACTTTCTCCATTATAACCTGAGATAAAGAGATGGTGCAAATTTAGGTGGATTTAAAGATTTGATGCACTTAAGTCACTGGCTGAGAATGAGGTCCCAGGAAGAACATGGAAGCTTTGAGGAGAGAGGGCAAAGTATCAAAGAGTTGTCTTATTAAATAGGAAAGTACACCTAAATGGAGGAGCTCAGTGTATTTGCCAGGTAGTATTGAAGGCTGATCTAAAGTTTGTCATCTTGAATTTAAAGTGAATTTATGACAAGACTTTTCTACACTATAATAAGTTATTTGGGCACAGGCTAAGAAGACAGATGGTGTTTATGTAAGGTGGGTATATCTTCAGGAGATGTAAACTGTAAACATTTGTAAGAGAATGATTTTAATGATAAATCATAAAAATCTAGGCTAGATAAGAGGAGCCAGGAGAGGGTTAGTGAATGTTAAGAAGATATTTGAAATCAATGGTCTAAAATTTCTGAGATATGGAAGAATTTTGCAGTAGTGGTCCATCTTCTAACTAGCTATAGAATTCCTGAGGACAGAGAAAGTACCTTTTGTGTTCATCCCCACAGGTATTTGTAGAATAACTTAAATAATATGAATCAACTAATTCTTATGCTGACTTAATTAGCTAGAATCTCAAAAGCTCACCTGACATGTTACAGCCAGGGTATGACAGATCTGGGTCTTCCCAGTTCGGAATTCTCCAAACATCTCTGTGATGGATCCAGTCTCAATTCCACCTAAAAAAGCAGTAAGAAACACCTTGTAGTATATGTTTGTAAGATTATCATAGAAATTTCCTTGGAACTCATTAAAAAGATGTGTACATAATTGGGAAGTACAATTTTCAATAAGCAGTAATTGAAAAGATTATTTTATTTCAAAATAATTACAGATTTATAGGAAATCTCAAAGAAATGTATAAGCAGATCCCATGTACTCTTCCCTCAACCGCCCCCAATGTTAATATCTTGCATAAAACCAAAATCAAACCCATTGTCATTGAGTTGATTCTGACTCATAGAGACCCCCTTGGGTTTATGAAGCAGTAACTCTTTATGGAAGTAGATTGCCCAGTTCCCGCAGAGTGGCTGGTGGGTTTGAACCACCAACCTTCTGGTTAGAAGTCAGATGCCTTAGACATTGTACTACCAGAGCTCCCTAATATCTTGCTAGTATAGTATCAATATCAGAAAATTGACATTAGTTTAATCCATGGAACTTTCTCAGAATTCTGAAGTTATATATGCACTAATTTGTATGTATGTAGTCCCATGCAATTTTACCACATATGCAGCTTCATGTAAGGAGTCCAGGTAGCACAGTAGGTAAGTGTTCAATGGATAATGGAAAGGCTAGCAACGTGTACACACATTTATGTGTAACATTTCATTTGATTCCAATATCCTATATGTTGTTGTTATTTGCCGTCGAGTCGGCCCCGACTCATAGCGACCCCTCCTTGGGTTTCCGAGGCAGTATCACTACGGAAGTAGGATTGCCCAACCTTCCTTCTGAGGAGTGGCTGGTGGGTTTGAACCGCCAGCCTTCTGGTTAGCAGTCAAGTGCCTTAGGCACTATGCTACCAGAGCTCCTATATAGTAGGTATCAATTTAATCTTCATTTTGAAAATAAGAAACCAAACTAAACCTACTGCCATAGTTGATCCCAACTCATAGTGATCCTTTAGGATAGAGTAGAACTGCTACAATGGGGCTTCCAAGGCTGTAAATTATAAAAAAGGAGACTGCCACATCTTTCTTCTGTGGAGCAGGTGGTGAGTAAGAACTGTTAAACTTTTGGTTAGCAGCCAAGCGTTTTAACCACTGGGCCACCAGAACTCATGAAAATAACCTTTGGGCATAAAGATATTAAGTAATTTACTCCATATAATATAGCCAATTAAATGCTAGGGACAGAGGCCAATACTCAAATTTTAGTCTGATTCCTGAACTTATGCTATTACTTCACTGCTGTTGAATTCTCACTCATAGCAGCCATAGAAGCAGAATCAAACTGTCCATAGGTTTCCAAGATTATATCTTTACCGAAGCAGACTGCCACATCCTTCTCCCATGGGGGAGCTGGTAGGTTCGAACCACAGACCTTTCAGTTAGCAGCCTAGTGCTTTAACTACTGCACCACACCAGGGCTCCTTAGAACCTATGCCATTATGCACCCTAAACAAAGAAAGCCTGAATGGTTAGATATATGGAGAAGCAGCAAGAGTCAAACCTAACTTTAACATGATTTAAAACAGTAATATTTCTAAAAAGTTCAAAAACTTTACAGCTTTCCTCAAGTCTTGAAGATTAGCATAGCCTATAAAGAACAGGAGTTCTGTTGGTGCAGTGGTTAAGTATTTGGATGCTTAGTTAGTTGGTGGTTTTAACCCCCCAGCCTCTCTGTGGGAGAAAGATGAGCTAGTTTGCTTCTATAAAGATGTATAGCCTTGGAAACTCAGTGGGGCAGTTCTACTCTGTCCCAAAGGGTTGATTTGAATTGGAATTGATTTCATAGCATTGGGATTGTTTTTCTGGGTTTTATAATGAATAGTATTTAGACCTGGAGTATTTTAACCAGTCACCAGATTTTCAACCTTGAGGTACAGTCCAAACCAAAAAAACTATAAACTCACTGCTGTTGAGTCAGTTCTGACTTATAATGACTCCTCCTTGGGTTTCTGAGGTGGTATCTCTACAGAAATAGATTACCCAGTCTTCCTTCTAAGGAGTGGTTGGTGTGTTAGAACCACCAGCCAGCCTTCTGGTTAATAGTCAAATACCTTAGGCACTGTGCCACCAGAGCTCCTTGAGGTAGAGTGGGTTATAATTATGATTTCCTTAGGCAGAGGGAGCTGACTCCCCAAATGCATATTAAGTAGGGATTAAATTAATTTAATTTATAGATAACTTTTTACATTTTTAAAAATAAGTTACGTCCCATCTATTAGCAGTTTTACTTATTCAATGTGGACACTTTCTGTATCTCTTAATTATATCTAATATATATATCCTACCCAAATGCTTTAGTTTTTTTTATTCTATGATCTGGATCCTTTCCTAACTGGAAGTCACAACATAGGATAAGGAATTACTACACCTTGAAGTAGTTTGTCAAGCTCTTTGGAGCCAGTAGTAATCTGTATGATCTCTGACCGCCTTTGGTGGAATTCAGTTGCAGTAGTGAAACCCATTGGCACTAATTTAGCTGCTTCAGCCTGGGAAAAGTAAGAAATGTTAAATCAGTAACAAATAATATGCTTAATTAAATCAAGAACTAGGAATATAATGTGAAGAGACAACATCTAACAAAATTTCCAAAATAATTTGTCTTTAAAAAGTCACCAAAATACTTGTAGTTCTAGTTCAGGACTGTTTTAACCACTCTGGCAATTAAATAATCAACTAGGGGAGGCAGCAAGATGGCGGAATAGGCAGAAGGATTGCACAGACCCTCTTCAACAAAGAAAAGGGAAACCAATTAACACAGACACAGAAGATAATCTTGGACCCCTGAGCCTTGAAGGA